CATTATCTGGATGACATTATATCTATCATGACATCAACAGACCTAACCCAAAATGTACAAACCATGAGATAATGGCTTGTCAACCTAACTACAATTTACAATTAAGTCTTCGTATATAAACAAATACAAAACCTACAATTTACAATTAAGTCTTCGTATATATACAAACACAAAACCTACAATTTACAATTAAGTCTTCGTATATATACAAACACAAAACCTACAATTTACAATTAAGTCTTCGTATATATACAAACACAAAACCTACAATTTACAATTAAGTCTTCGTATATATACAAACACAAAACCTACAATTTACAATTAAGTCTTCGTATATATACAAACACAAAACCTACAATTTACAATTAAGTCTTCGTATATATACAAACACAAAACCTACAATTTACAATTAAGTCTTCGTATATATACAAACACAAAACCTACAATTTACAATTAAGTCTTCGTATATATACAAACACAAAACCTACAATTTACAATTAAGTCTTCGTATATATACAAACACAAAACCTACAATTTACAATTAAGTCTTCGTATATATACAAACACAAAACCTACAATTTACAATTAAGTCTTCGTATATATACAAACACAAAACCTACAATTTACAATTAAGTCTTCGTATATATACAAACACAAAACCTACAATTTACAATTAAGTCTTCGTATATATACAAACACAAAACCTACAATTTACAATTAAGTCTTCGTATATATACAAACACAAAACCTACAATTTACAATTAAGTCTTCGTATATATACAAACACAAAACCTACAATTTACAATTAAGTCTTCGTATATATACAAACACAAAACCTACAATTTACAATTAAGTCTTCGTATATATACTAACACAAAACCTACAATTAAGCCTTATTATAAATAAGAAATCTTGGTATATATAGTTCTACAAATCCTACACACAATTTACAATTATAATCAGTGTTTTCAATATTAAACTAGTTATTATTCCATACTCCGTTGTTTTGGTCTAATACCTAGTTATTATGCTGAGGTCTGTTGTATTGGTCTAATACCTAGTAATTATGCTGAGGTCTCCGGTATTGGTCTAATACCAAACTATTATGATGTCTGCCGTATTGGCATAACATAATGTAGTAAGACAGAAGAAACAGTCACTACTGTTTAGAAATCATGTAAATAATAGGCATATCATTTTACAATTACACAGGTGAAAGTTGCACATTTTCAAAATCCTGAAAATTTAGTTGAGATCAAAGGGGCCGCTAGGGCCCTTGATGAGTTTAGGGCAAAGCCCTGGTGGGGGGACAAGGGGGTCTGTGGGGGGAGAAGGGGGGGCTGAGCCCCCTTGAAGCCCCAGGGATATAGCTAATAGGAAACCATTTTAAGCAAGAACAAAGTCTTGTCATTTTAGTTTAAAGGAACATCTTATCATATGATATTGTAAGAAGTGGGTGCCTCTCTATCAATTAACTAATCTATCTGTATAAACATGTCTGTGTCTTGATAACTGACCTTTATAAATCTAGAGGATACTGTGTGATTGGAAACAGGATCAGCAGTACTTTTGTTATCACACCCATCTTACTATTTCACACTTCATCAGGACTCATGGCAAATATTTTCTACCTGCTAATGTTATGTGCAAGAATACTTAACATTCCTTGCCCGACTTTATATTCCCATTGGAGAACCATATGAGTTTGTATATGTTGTCTGTGTGTGTTGTCAGGTACAGATATCTAACTCCTGGTTATGTTGTCTAGACTGTTTCAAAGAGCTGACCAATTCCTACTGGAGCCCGTTTCTTATAATAAAAAGATAACAAATCATTTGTAAGCAGTCAAGTTAAATAAAAAATCATTTTGATTCCCTTCAAATACACCATCTTGTTTTTATCAGATCTAACTCTTACTCTAATTCTAAACCAGCCACATGAATCTGTATTGTTTGAGATTTTTTTCAATATTGGCAGGGATTTTGTTTTTTATAGTGTGGGTAGGAATGTCAGCATTTAGACAATACCATTATAATTAATCAATAATACTTGTTACCGACCCTACCTCCAACTCACAGTGAATAACCAAACCCTACCTCCAACTCATAATGAGTAACAGACTCTACCTCCAACTCACAGTGAATAACCAAACCCTACCTCCAACTCACAGTGAATAACCAAACCCTACCTCCAACTCATAATGAGTAACAGACTCTACCTCCAACTCACAGTGAATAACCAAACCCTACCTCCAACTCACAGTGAATAACAGTGAATAACCAAACCCTACATCCAACTCACAGTGAATAACCAAACCCTACCTCCAACTCACAGTGAATAACCAAACCCTACCTCCAACTCACAGTGAATAACCAAACCCTACCTCCAACTCACAGTGAATAACCAAACCCTACCTCCAACTCACAGTGAATAACCAAACCCTACCTCCAACTCACAGTGAATAACCAAACCCTACCTCCAACTCACAGTGAATAACCAAACCCTACCTCCAACTCACAGTGAATAACCAAACCCTACCTCCAACTCACAGTGAATAACCAAACCCTACATCCAACTCACAGTGAATAACCAAACCCTACCTCCAACTCACAGTGAATAACCAAACCCTACCTCCAACTCATAATGAGTAACAGACTCTACCTCCAACTCACAGTGAATAACCAAACCCTACCTCCAACTCATAATGAGTAACAGACTCTACCTCCAACTCACAGTGAATAACCAAACCCTACCTCCAACTCACAGTGAATAACCAAACCCTACCTCCAACTCACAGTGAATAACCAAACCCTACCTCCAACTCACAGTGAATAACCAAACCCTACCTCCAACTCACAGTGAATAACCAAACCCTACCTCCAACTCACAGTGAATAACCAAACCCTACCTCCAACTCACAGTGAATAACCAAACCCTACCTCCAACTCACAGTGAATAACCAAACCCTACCTCCAACTCACAGTGAATAACCAAACCCTACCTCCAACTCACAGTGAATAACCAAACCCTACCTCCAACTCACAGTGAATAACCAAACCCTACCTCCAACTCACAGTGAATAACCAAACCCTACCTCCAACTCACAGTGAATAACCAAACCCTACCTCCAACTCACAGTGAATAACCAAACCCTACCTCCAACTCACAGTGAATAACCAAACCCTACCTCCAACTCACAGTGAATAACCAAACCCTACCTCCAACTCACAGTGAATAACCAAACCCTACCTCCAACTCACAGTGAATAACCAAACCCTACCTCCAACTCACAGTGAATAACCAAACCCTACCTCCAACTCACAGTGAATAACCAAACCCTACCTCCAACTCACAGTGAATAACCAAACCCTACCTCCAACTCACAGTGAATAACCAAACCCTACCTCCAACTCACAGTGAATAAAAGACCTATTGCAAAGATCCTACAAATCAGTAAAAAAAAATTCTTTCCATTTGAATTTTATATTTTCTTTCAATCAATTTTGACTTTCCTCTGTTGCTTCCTAGGATTCAAATCTTTTACCCTTAGAATCACTGATGAGTCTTAGAAGGATGAAAACAGCTATATGATGCAACTAAATGCCAAGGTTACCCTTGTGATTACAAGGGTATCCTGGCCATAAGGACACCAAAACCGAGGGTTACCATTGTCATTGTATTACTCAAACTAAAGTGTACCCTGGTCATTATAACACATAACTGAAAGTTACCCTGGTCATTATAACACCTAAACCCAAAGTTACCCTGGTCGTTAAAATAAACCCAAGGGTACCCTGGTCATTATGATTAACCCAAGGGTTTCCTTGTTATTATAACACCTAAACCTAAAGTTACCCTGGTTGTAATCACAAACTTGTATTGTCAAAATTGATGGTCTAGCATTATGTTTTCTGGTCAATCCTAAAACTAAATGGGCACAATTGATGCCACAAGAAAACCAGTATATAAATCTGAGAAAGATTCATCTAGCACAACAAGGGACATACAGGTGCAAGACAAATTGATTCTAATGAAGGTTGGCGAAAATGGATACACAGCAGAGAGGATTAATGAGCCATTTCTGCATTCCTGAGCCGTGTAAAGCCACATTGGGTACATCATTTACAAGCCTAACACATGCATGCTGACCCTGGAGATATGTCAATAGGGTAATGTATCTATACACATCTGTTTGTAACCTGCTGTTTATAACACAATGGTAAGTCAGTCAGAAATGAGTGTGGAGGGAGGAATGAGTTCTAAAGTACGTCACATCAACATTAACATGGTGTGGAGGGAGGGATGAGTTCTAAAGTACGTCACATCAACATTAACATGATGTGGAGGGAGGGATGAGTTCTAAAGTATGTCACATCAACATTAACATGGTATGGAGGGAGGGACGAGTTCTAAAGTAGGTCACATCAACATTAACATGGTGTGGAAGGAGGGACGAGTTCTAAAGTAGGTCACATCAACATTAACATGGTGTGGAGGCAGGTACGAGTTCTAAAGTAGGTCACATCAACATTAATATGATGTGGAAGGAGGGAGTGACTTGCAATCACATTACTATTAACATGGTCTGGAGGGAGGAACAAGTTAAATATAATATAGGTCTCATCACCATGAATATGGTGTGTAACATGGGGTGGGGAGAGGTCATTTAGGGAGGAATGAGCTACTATGTAGGTCACATCAATAACATGGTGTGTATGTAGTTGTGGGGAACCCCCTCCCATATTTTATACACATGTTACTTCAAATTAAACAGAAATTGAACAATAAATCTTGTACTGTCATCATGTACAGGCCGAAGTTTCTCCTCAGTGATCTACTTTGAGCAGGAAGTTTCTGTAACGTCAAAGTAGACAAGAAAGTATGCTTTCTTACAAAATATAACAGCATAATGCCTGATGAAATTTCATTTAACAGTATGAAATAATTGAACTGCCTATGAAGAACTAACCAGAAAACATAAAATCATCGTACATACTTACTTTATATAAGTAACACTGTCTTGCCTGCATTGTTATCATCCGTAACAGGATACACACATGGATATTTATACACTATAAAATCTGGCTCAAAACCTTAACCACAAAACTTTTTTTTAACATAGCTATGATTTAAATAGCCTCTTCAAAAGATTGGTTCATCGGTGCCATGGGAGGTTTGAATCCTAGCAGCTGAGCAGTCAAATACAAGTCATATTCTGCTGGCTAAGTTAGTAAGGGTTTAATATCCGAGCTACAGCCTGAAAGTGAGGAAGTAAGATATGTTACAGCTCTATATATACATATAGTGGGCTAGTGTAAAACATGGACTTGTAATAATGCTGGAGTCATGTACCTTACTATTACAGCTGTTATCACCATACTGTTAGCTTACTGTAAACCATGGTCAGTCACAGTCCTCAGCCATGTGTATCTATATACTGCTTACCGTAAACCACAGTCAGTCACAGTCCTCTTTCCTACATCAGCCATGTGTATCTATATACTGTTAGCTTACTGTAAACCACGGTCAGTCACAGTCCTCAGCCATGTGTATCTATATACTGTTAGCTTACTGTAAACCACGGTCAGTCACAGTCCTCAGCCATGTGTATCTATATACTGTTAACTTACTGTAAACCACAGTCAGTCACAGTCCTCTTTCCTACATCAGCCATGTGTATCTATATACTGTTAGCTTACTGTAAACCACAGTCAGTCACAGTCCTCTTTCCTACATCAGCCATGTGTATCTACATACTGTTAGCTTACTGTAAACCACGGTCAGTCACAGTCCTCAGCCATGTGTATCTATATACTGTTAGCTTACTGTAAACCAGTCAGTCACAGTCCTCTTTCCTACATCAGCCATGTGTATCTATATACTGTTTGCTTACTGTAAACCAGTCAGTCACAGTCCTCTTTCCTACATCAGCCATGTGTATCTATATACTGTTAGCTTACTGTAAACCACGGTCAGTCACAGTCCTCAGCCATGTGTATCTATATACTGTTAGCTTACTGTAAACCACGGTCAGTCACAGTCCTCAGCCATGTGTATCTATATACTGTTAGCTTACTGTAAACCACGGTCAGTCACAGTCCTCAGCCATGTGTATCTATATACTGTTAGCTTACTGTAAACCACAGTCAGTCACAGTCCTCTTTCCTACATCAGCCATGTGTATCTATATACTGTTAGCTTACTGTAAACCACAGTCAGTCACAGTCCTCTTTCCTACATCAGCCATGTGTATCTATATACTGTTAGCTTACTGTAAACCACAGTCAGTCACAGTCCTCTTTCCTACATCAGCCATGTGTATCTATATACTGTTAGCTTACTGTAAACCAGTCAGTCACAGTCCTCTTTCCTACATCAGCCATGTGTATCTATATACTGTTAGCTTACTGTAAACCACAGTCAGTCACAGTCCTCTTTCCTACATCAGCCATGTGTATCTATATACTGTTAGCTTACTGTAAACCAGTCAGTCACAGTCCTCTTTCCTACATCAGCCATGTGTATCTATATATTGTTAGCTTATAATTTCTCTCTTTTTATTCTTTTATGAAGGTGTCTGATGCTTTACTAAATTTATCTCATTTTTTTTGCTAATTTGTTCAAAGTTTCACATCATTCCTCACCACAGCTTTTCTCCTTCATTAACTGAGTTGAAGTCCCACTCCATTTCTGAGGTTGACTTATTTCATCCTTGAAGTGTTTATCATTCTTTACCTAGGTCATTTGAAGTCTCATACAATTTCTGATATCTACTTATCTCACCCTGTAAGCCTTTCTCATTCGTTAACTGAGGTATTTTTTCTTTAATTATTTGTATCATTTTGTTTTTCTTTTTCAACCCTCAGCACATTGAAGTGAAGATGGAACATTTTTTGGTTCAAATAATCAATTTATGTATCACCACAAAAATAAATGTAAAAAGTTTTATACAGGTGTAAAACATCATGTCATTATGTCCGTTTGAAAATAGGTAAAAATTCTTAAAATGACATAAAATAGCAACAGATTTGGTTCTGTACAACCTGCTTTAACAGATATATCAAATGAAAGTGTTAAAAGCTTTAAAACATTTATAATCATAAACCAAAGGGATCTTGGCACCCACGATTGTAGGATCTTTTCCCCTCTGCTCTCCTTTGTTTTTGCTCTTAATAATACCAAATTTGAACATTCATTTGCCAAACTCAAGATCATCACCTATCTTCCATTTTATTTTTCTGACCAGTCCCAAAATCAAAAACTAGGGTCATAAAGAGAACCTGTAAATGAAATTTGAGAGAGATCCATCCAGTACTGGTCTAGAAATAGCAATAACATTCTTTCTTGTTCAGAATCCAAGATGGCCACCTGTCTGCCATTTTGTTTATCTGATCAGTCCCAAAATCAGACAGGTACAATAAGGGACCATAGGATACCTACATATGAAATTTGAGAAAAATCAATCCAGTACTTCTCAAGAAATAGTGATAACAATATTTCATTTATGAAATCCAAGATTGCCATCTGTCAGCCATATTGTTTTCCTGATCAGACCCAAAGTCAAATGGGCATAACTAGGGCCCAAGAGGAACCCATCTATAAAATTTGAGAGAGATCCATCACATACTTCTCAAGAAATAGCAATAACAAAAATAGTTTACAGATGGATGGATCACAGATCACTGACAAAAGGCATATTTTTGAATAGGTTGAAAAAGGAGGAAAAGAAAAAAGAAGAAGAATTTTCTATCTAACAATCAATTTTATCTGAACTGTAACAAATATACCTGTATATGCATTTTAACCCTGACAAGTGTATCTGGTTTAACCATTGAACTCGGTGGGAATTAATGTGAATATATTCACAGTAATAATCATCACCAACTATACTGTTAAGTGGCAAAGGCTGATAGGCCAACTGATGAATTTAATATACCTGTGGTCCTCATGGAAGTGATACAGGTAACACAACATGCACAAGTAACCAAGCATAAAATGTGACACACTTGTTAAGCTTCAGTATTTGTATAGCAGCTGAAAGCAGAAGTTTAATATCAAACAAGAAGCCCATAGGGCCTGTATCATTCATCTGGTATATTTTGCTTAAAACTGATTAATTACAATAAATGAAAGTATTTAAAACAACTTTATCAATTTCAACTATTTGGCCCAGCCTCTCTTCCCCACAGGGTTTAGATATACTGCTTGTATAAAATTTAGTTTTCATCCAAGGATGCTTCAGATTAAATCTGGACTAAATTGAATCATTAGAGCACAAGAAGGATTTTCACGTTTTTGCTCTATTTCCACTATTGGCCCCTCTGGGAGTCAAAACCTACTGGTCATATAAAATTGAACCCAAGCATATCTCAGACCAAATTGTAATAGAATCGAGGCATTCCTTCATAAGAAGAATGATTTTAAATAATTTGACCTATTTATCCTATTGGGCCCCGGCCCAACCCCTGCCCCTCCCAACCCAATGTTTGATATCCACCATTTAAACAAAATTGATGTTCATGCAACCAAGAATGCTTCTGACCAAATTGAGACAACATTCAGGTATTTCTTCAGAACTGTGTTTGGCACTGGCCCTCCTGTCCCCAGGGGTCTATACCCACCATCTACACAAATTGATTCTGCTTTACCAAAGGATGCTTCAGACAAAATTTGGGTGAATTGCCATTATTCTTGAAAAAGGAATAGGATTTTAAACAATTTCCTCTATTTCCCATATTGGGTTAAGTCCCTCCCATCAAAGGAGGCTGACCCATCGTTTATACAAAACTGATTTTCCTTCACCCTACAATGCCTCAGACCAAATTTTAGCAAAACACAATCATTCCTACAAGTGGAGTAGGATTTTAAAGAATTCACAGTGACAAATTCAACTTAGAACACCATAAGACTATCTCTATCACAATGAAACTAGGAACTCCATCTTGTCCATTACCATGAAAGCGGGGACACCATTTCTGTGTCAGTCATCATGACCTCAGAACACAATCAGACTATCTCTGTCACCATGAAACTCTGTACACCATCATGTCAGTCATCATGAAACTCTGTACACCATCATGTCAGTCATCATGAAACTCTGTACACCATCATGTCAGTCATCATGAAACTCTGTACACCAATGTCTCATCATGAAACTCTGTACACCATCATGTGAAACTCTGTACACCATCATGTCAGTCATCATGAAACTCTGTACACCATCCTGTCATCATGAAACTCTGTACACCATCATGTCAGTCATCATGAAACTCTGTACACCATCATGTCAGTCATCATGAAACTCTGTACACCATCATGTCAGTCATCATGAAACTCTGTACACCATCATGTCAGTCATCATGAAACTCTGTACACCATCATGTCAGTCATCATGAAACTCTGTACACCATCCTGTCAGTCATCATGAAACTCTGTACACCATCATGTCAGTCATCATGAAACTCTGTACACCATCATGTCAGTCATCATGAAACTCTGTACACCATCAGTGAATATGACACTTGACCTACAGTGATTTGGAATCTGCAATGGTATATTGTGATATTTCCACAAATATTCATTTCATGGTCTTGAGTGGGTTTATGTTGCCAATAAAACTATGTTTTTCAACAGTAGAATCATGATATACTGCTGAAATTTTTTTAAACACTGTAGGGTAATTATTATCTCATTACAGTCACAATGTGTATCACTATCTAACTCATTTACAGTGTAGCATCAGATATTTCACCATTGAACGGTAATGTGCACAACTGTCAATAAGTGTCATATATACCATGGAATTATTGATTTAACAATAGATGTTGTCATTCTCGTATGTGGTCACCCCAGCTGTATCACTCAATGCTCTGGTCATGACCTCCACCTAATGGCCATTGGGGTTTATCAAATTCAGAAATTCATTAACAATTTTTCTCTTAATACTTTTACCTTAATTTCTATATCAAATTGTAGCACACTCTAATGTCGAAATCCTCACATAGTGAAATAAACTCCACTGTGAAGACTTAAATAAATGACATACAAAATTGTGACTATTGTAAAATCACTCACCAAAACTATACTGTAGACATAGCACTCCAAACTACAATCCTAAACTCACAAAAATACAATGTAGACATTTTACTCCAAATTACATAACTTAATCTTATTTTGACCTCAGGGCAGTATGTAAGCCCCCTGTCAGTATAATGTGACAATGTGGGATGTCATCCTGC